GGTTCATTCTCCGGTGGGGTTTCCCGTTAAGAAAGACCTCGAGTTTCCGGCTTCCCGGATGCCCAGCTAAGAGTTGGCCATGCCAGAAGTATCGTCTGGCTGATCCAGTCGCTAGATTGTTCCCTGATCCAGATAGGCTAGCGATTGCCTGTGATGAAAATTTAGCAGTCATTGGCGAGACTGTTAATCTTGGGGGAAACTCTATTGCATGTACAGCATTTAAAAGGAAAAAACCTTGGGTCACATCTCCGCCATCGGCTGACCAGTGGCAGGTGCACAGGACACCCTATATTTCGGAACAAAAGGACACTGAACGATTGCTATCTTGTCTCATGATCTGCATCTAAAACGCCAGAACAATCTCCACCAACGCCGATCTTCACGTCCTCCTCGAAGCTGCAGGGCGCATCAACTACCACGTAATGGCCTTGCAGGAAACAAAGTCCAGCAAGACGGACGTGGGGCAGCCGAATGATGGCACACTCATCATTCGTGGTGAAAAGGTTCCTCACAGAACGTTGGAGGCGGATTGTCATACATCCATCTGTTCCATCTTGCCGATTCGCGTGAAATCCAATTAACTCGCCTGGCTATCCTTCGGCTCCCCTCTGCATCAGAAAACCATCACTATTATCAACTACTATTCTTCAACATCAGCAGCTAGACTCAGAACTAGATGCCTTTTATAAGGATTAGGAAGTCATCTGCGAAGAGAAGTCCGTTCACAAATTTGTCGTGGGTGACTTAACCTTCATGAAGAAAAGAAAGAACAGCAGTGGACATGGGATCGCCCAACGAGAGCCTGTGCAAGATCGACTCTCGAGCAACCGGCGGTGGTGCTTACTGGACATTTTGTGATACCATACTTTAGCGTGGTTCGGACCACCGTTTACTTCGAGCAATAGTGCGATTCAGCCAAAAACTAGAGGAGGAAATCTGTCATGGGGTATGAGGAAGGAGAAAAATTGTATATGAAGGTGTCAGGTTGGAGGAGTTCCTGACCACTTGTGACTGGCTCATCGAGGAGTCCCAATGAAGGACTACGGCCTGCTTCTCAGAGGAATGAGGGCCTGTGGTGAAAGTGCCTCAATGCCTCGAACAAGAAACTTAGAACGAATTTCGAAAACCACCAAGGATTTGCTTGAGAAGGGGACAGCATTGAGCCTGAATCCGACTGCACCAGGTCTCGACGTCTGTTAGCCAATACAGTTGCGGAACAGCTTTACAAGAATGTTTTTGGATGTACAACTTGTAGAAGCAGCACAAGGATGGAAAAAACCTTAAGATGCGCATTCGAGACCTTCTCGACTACCGCCTTCCGTTGACAACTTTACGAAGACGGGACTCGTACATAACAGAAGAT